CGGGATCGGGTGCAATACTCACACTGTGTCTCCGGTGCTGTCCCCTGTAGGGCTATTGGGTCAGTGAGGGGCGTCATGTCTCATAGTGGGGCTGGCCATGTGGTCCTTTCTGTGGACTGGCTGCTTTAATTGGGATCATTGTCCTCAAGGCCTGGTGGGTCTGGATGTGCTCCACTCTCTCCTCCTCCCCCTTCATCTGCTCCCATGTGCTCTGATCAGATATGTTCCTCTCCCGGATCTGCGGATTCAATGCCATCCTTTGAAATAAATTCTTCTGGGGGAAGGGCAGGTGTTCACTTAGTATTTGAGACTGGGGTCGGCCCCCCAGACACCATGAAAAGTTGAAAACACGGAAAGATCAGTGAATAATTAGCCAGGAAAAGATGAATAGATGAGAGCTCAAAGTTTGTCTTCACTTTTTCAGCTTGAGATATGATAATTGTGTTATTAGTTTTGGCTAACTCCAGTTCTTCGCATATTTAATTATAATATTCCAATTTCTCACCTTGGGTTGTGAATTGTTTGGTTCAAGTCTTTCATTCCATCATTTATTCCGTTTGTTTTCGCTACTCTCTAGTGGTTATGTGTGGGGCTGTCATCCCAAAAGTCAGCATTTCAAAACTACCAGCCACTCCTTGGGAAAAAGATGGGACTTTCTACTCTTGTTAAGAGTTACAGCCCCAGAGACTCAAATGGGGGTATTGTCCCCTGTCCTGTTAGGGTCACTATGAATTGGCATCCACTCGTTGACAGTGAGTTTGATTTGGAGTTTTTATGATCTATAGCTAGTTCCAGAGTTTCTTCTGACCTCCACTTTGGTGTTCCTTTCCCATCATGCCTTTTAATGATCTTTTGCTTTCTTAAATGTGTGATGTTCTTGGTGTCATCCCACAGTTAGTCAGTTTTGCTGTCATTGGTGTTCACTGCAACAAATCTGTTCTTGAGATGTTCTCTAAGTTGAGGTGAAATATACTCAAAGTATATATGCTACAGTGTACTTGTTTTAATTTTTTTTCAACTTCCACTTGATTTTGCAATGAAGTAAATGATGGTTTGTTCCAGTCTACCCTTGGCGTTTGCTATGCTAGATGATTTTGAGCTCCTCTATTGTCTCGTCCCACAGATGCAGTCAATATGATTCCTGTGTTTAATGAAAAAGTGAATATAATGTGACGTTCTATTCCATGGAGGGATGCTAGGGCCTGCTGCCTGCTGCCAGGTTGGTCATCTTTGGGTCTTTGGAAAGTCTGTTTCTGAGGTGACACACACACACACCACAGTAGAGAGCTAAGCAAAAGATTTATTTAAGCATAGACACTTATTTAAAAAGTGAAGTGTCCTCCTCCAGATGCGAGAAGGACCTCTAAGGGTAGATAAGATACAGCTTGAGAGAGAAGCAGCCCCCAATCTCGAGTTGAGGAAGGACATTTTCTAGGGGAAAGTTTCTTTTTAAAGACCAAGTCAAGGGGTGGAGATCGCAGTTCTGTGGATGGTCAAGCACCTTTCTAATTAGTTCTTTTAGTTAAGGAACTAATTTAGTCTGTCCTTGGGTCTCCTGTATGTTTTCTTTCAGATTTATCTCAGGATATGCACCCAGCCTGGTCTCAAAGTTAGAATGTTTATCAGACCTGTTCTCTCAGAGTTCATTGTTCCCTTAGCAGGCAGAAGTCCCTGTTCTGTCCCATCATGTACATATGAAAAAATTCATGGTATGATAAACTTAGGAAGCGTTTACTCTATGCAATTTGCTATATATCTGTTATGCTTAATAAAGAGAGTCACATATCATTGTCATTTTAAAAAGTACTTCACTGTTAACATACTGTTCCTTACAACTGCTTCCCTCTTTCCCTGGATAACTCTCTCCAAGTTCTTCAGCGATCAGTCGGTGCCCTACTCCTGAGGAAGGGTATTAAATAAAAAACTTTGAAATGGAAGCCAACACGGTCGACTTCTAGGAGTCTAAAAATGGGCCATGATTTACGAGGAAAAAACAAATAATTTCTCTAAACCAATCAGCATTATAAAACATTTTTCAGATAGCCAAATATGCAATTATATACTTTCTCTGCTCCCAAACATATTAGACCTGTTTGACCTACTAAAGTCTGCCTTTAAGCTTAAATACACAGTTCATAAAACCTTGGCTTTTCTCTTCAGGGGCTATACAGCCAGCAGCCAACAGACCCCACGTCTAACAGGAAGTCACGGAACTTGACGGTCACTAGAGAGTGGAGCGCTGTTGGTCTGCGGACGGAACTCTTACACTGAGGCACATAATCCCAGGAACCGGAAGCGGAAGTACGCCCCGCAGGGCGCAATACGGAAGTACCTGAAGCCCAGTTGTCAGCTGAGGTGACTTTTGCATCTGGTCGCCTTCTCCCGCGGTCCATTCTCCTGTGCCGGGCTCTGCGTGCGCCGCCGCCGTCCCCGCGCGGGCCTGGGCGCTCCGACTCCCCGACTCCTCCCTGGCTGCCCCACTTCCGGAGCCGCCCGCGCCCTCCGGGACCGCCGCTGTTTCAGTGCCCCGGAGCCTCTCTGTGCGCTCACAGGTACAATTCGTGTGAACCCTCAATGAGCAAAATGTGGTTCCTAGGCCAGCAGCCTCCACTTCAGTGAGGTTAATGAGAAATGCAGGGTCACGGGCAGCACTTAGTCGCAGGGTAGTTGGATCGAGTGTAAATACCCGGCTAGTACAGCCTACCCCAGCCCGGGCTCCCTACCTCCCCCTTGGTTTCTCTAGCCTCCTTGAAACAGGACTTTGTCTTAAGTATTGCTGGCCAGACAGATGGGCATTTTATGTTGGGGAATGGATTCCCCTGCTTGAATGCTGATGTTGTGCTGGAACGAGATCAATTAACCCACACGCAACTTTAATCAAAGTCAGTAAACCTTTATTAGCCAGTGGTCTACGGGCAACTATAGCCTAATTCTCCCCAAACCCCGAGTGCTTAATATGGCCGGGTGGTGGTGGTGGTGGTGGTTTGGTGGTTAATAATGGGGGACAAACTAGGCATAGGGGGCAGGTGGTGACACAATGTATAGAGTTTGCATTTGGTCTTTTGGGGTACTCAAGGAGCACAGTTAAACAGATAGGGGTACTCAAAGAAGGATGACTGCCGAAGGTACATGAAGCAGATTATTGTTCCATGACATGAAGTTGGTTTCAACCCAAAGCAACCCCGTGCACAACAGAATGAAACACTGCCCAGTCTTAGGTCGTCCTCACAATTGTTCCTATGCTTGAGCCCCTTGTTGCAGCCACCGTGTCAGTCCATCTGTCCCTGTACCAAGAATGATAACCTTACCCAGGGACTAGTTTCTCCTGACATGTCCAAAGTACAGCAGACAAAGTCTCACCCTCCTTGCCTCTAAGGAACATCCTGGCTGTACTTCTTCCAAGACAGATTTGCTAGTTCTTTTGGCAGTCCGTTAGTATTCTTCACTAGCACCATAATTCAAATGCATTAGTTCTTCTTCAGTCTTCCTTATTCAATGTCCAACTTTCACATTCAGACAATTGAAAATACCATGACTTGGATCAGGCACACCGTATTCCTCAAAGTGACCTCCTTGATTTTCAACACATTACAGATATCCTGTACAGCAGATTTACCCAATGCAATGCATCCTTTAATTTCTTGACTGCTGCTTCCATGACCATCGATTATGGATCCAAAAGGATTTATAGCATGTTAAAACACGCCTATTTCTAATCTCCAGACAAGTTCATGTTCATAGATTCATTATGCTATTTGAAGTTTTAGATTTGCAGTAACCATTTGACAAGAGTATAGGTTCCTGACCTTAAATCAGCAGCAGAGTAGTACAACTTTATTTGAACTTGACCGCAAAGTTTTTACAAGAGCTGGTTGAAGCAGCATATCAGTAACCTGACAGGATATCTTTTGGCTATATGCAGAGAAAGTGGGTTCACTTTTGAAAAAGAGATTATTTTCAGGAATTTAGGGAAGTTAGCAAAAAATACTACATGTAATTCATAAATGGTGTAGTACTTTCTGTAGTCATCAAAGACATCTAGAATTTCTTGACTTCATTTCACATCTGGTCACACTTCTCATGCCTGTTGTTTTGCAACGTGGTCTTGAAATAATAGCTGCATTCTTTTTAACATGGTCTATTAAGCCATTTTTGTCAGTTACAACAACTAGTCTTCCTTTCTCCCCCTAGTTCAGTGAACTCCCTGAACAGTAATAGTAGTGATAACTGACATCTGTACAGTACCTTACAGTTTTCAAAGACCATTCACCACATTCTCGTTAGCATTGTGCAGAGGGAACTTGTTAGGAGATGTTTTGACATCCATGCTAAAAACATTAAAAACTTGAAACTACTCATCCTTAAATATGCTGTATAATATGAATAGTTCCCTGAATAGGGGAAGACTTGCTACAATTTCAGCCATGTGAAATTAGCAAAATCGAGAGCTTGAGTCCTTTATTTAGCTGCTTGAATCTAATTTACCTTTGGAAATGATGCTTTTCTAACCATTATCTGAATGGATTTTGTATCCACTGTATTCTAGCTATAATTTGTATAAATTTGCCATCAGGTGTGTCATATAAAAAAGTGTAATGCAAAATAAATAAACAGCTGTACCATCCTTCAGGAGGAGCATTGCTTTGAGCCCAGTAGGGAGTGTTGCCCAGGGAGAGAACTGATGGCCATAAACTTGTCTATCCCGCCTGATGAACACTGTGCACTTTCCTTAATCTTCCATTTTAGGGCATATATGTGGCCATTGGAGACCTAGTCTCGTCTTGAACATCCTCCATGTTACCACTCTTCTAACTGGTGTGTGGACCAAGCATTGCTCGTCTATCTAGTGGCTCTCCTTCTACTCCCCATCCCTCGTACTGAAGTGGCTTCCTGGGTTCAGAGAGAATATTCATTTCACTTCCAGAAGCCGGAGCAGGACATGGTGAGTACCATAGAGAACTGGGTAATTCTTACTGTAACGGGATGAGGCTAAGTATGATTTGATGGGGAAACAATTATGTGCGATGGGCTCTGAAGTTCTTCTATGAAGTTAAAAGAGACATGGGAAGCCAAGGGACTGAATCCTCAGAGGCATCATAAGCTTGCCACTGAGCCCTTCCTCTACACATATGTGATTTTTCAAGCCTTGATTGCTTGGGGTTACCTTTCATATGTGACTGAGAGCTGGCACCATGCGGCCTTAACATCCCCACCCTGAGCATCAGTGTTCTGTACTAAATGACGGAATTTCCTGACCGGAGCCTAAAGACAGAGCAGCTCTGACTGAGAGGGCTACACCCAGGCTCCCTACAGCACTCCTTGTCTCATCATGGCACACAGTGTTCTTGGCATCTCCCTGGCACTGGAGGCAGTTCCAAAGCTACCCCTCTACCTCTCACAGGGTATGATACGGTAAAGAAAGGGAGAGAGTTATCAGGAGAAGAACTCTGACTCTCTATAGGGTCCTGTGTGGGTTTGGTGCTCTCGTGACCATGAGAGAAATCTGGACTGAATCATGTCCAGGCACTTCAAAAACCACCATTGTTTTTCCAGCGAGGGATAGTTTTCTTTGAGACTTTCAGTCGTGCAAGAAGAATGATACCCAATCCAAGTACCTCTCTTCCCAGCTTTTCTGTACCTAGAGCCGGTGGTACATTTCTTAAATTCTTGACTAGTCCCTATATCTTGGAATAAAATCTAAATGTGAAGGGTTCTTCTCAGCTAAAAGAGAAGCCTTGGTAATGGAGTGGTTATACATTGGGCTGATAACTACAAGGTCAGCAATTCGAATCCACCAGCCAAGCCACATCACAGGAGAAAGAAGAGGCTTTTTACTCCCATAAAGATTTACATTCTCAGAAACCCACAGGGGAAGTTCTACTCCATCTTCCAGGGTCACTATGAGTAAGAATCAACTCAAGGGAAGTGAGCTAGATAAATTTTAACTAAAGAACCTGGGGATATCAGGTGATGTTGGTGTCCTGCCTGACCAGCAGATGGGTTGTACCACTGGAATGACCCAGAGTTATGGAAGTAAGTAATGCAGCTTCTAAACACTCTTGGAAAGGCCTGGTCTAAAACCAGGTTGCTTGGATTTCTGGTAAACAGTACAGAAACACAGTGCAGATTCTCACAGACAGAACCACAAAAAGCTGATCATCTACTTAAGTTATAATGTTGGTGGAGACCAAGGGCCTTTGGTATAACACTTATATACTCTGTGATGTCACAAATGGGAAGGAATGTGATGCCAGCACTTTAAAAGCAGCTCCACACGGGGAATGGAGGATAAAGTAGAGTCTTAAAACCTGGGGGCAAGGAGATGGCACTGAAGAGGGGAGTTTAGTCAATGTCCTTGAATAAATCGACATAGTGACTATCTCCTTAGTCACTCTTTCTCTATCCCAGCATCCTTCATTAGCAGAATCCATATTTGTGTTAGACCTGGTAGACTACAGAAACAAATCTAGAGACACTCGTGTGTAAGAGCTTTATATTAAAGAGTAATTGTGAGACACTCATGTGTAAGAGCTTTATATTAAAGAGTAATTGTATATTAAGAAAACATCCCAGCCCAGTCCAGATCAAGTCCCTAAATCTGATATTAGCCCATAAGTTTGATACTAATCCAAAAATTACTCTTCATACGCACACAGTTACATGCAATGATGCAAAATGTAGGAAGGTCACAGGCCAGTCAGTGAAAAGTCTTGTGGATCCAATGGTGGAGGACATGTCTCCAGGGCTCTGGCTGGCATCAGTGTGGCTCTGTGTGACTTGTCGACAGGAATGTGTAGCTGAGAGGAATGTGTGTCCCACCTCCAGGGAGGAAGAGAGGAAGTTCACAGACTCCTCATGAGAAGGCCACACCCACAAGGAAGCATCATCAGGCTATGTCCTGTTTGACAGGCTAGGCTCCACCCCTTCACTCTATCAAGTCGACACAAGATTATGTAACTACCACAATACTGGATATGTCAACTACACTACAGCAACCCTTCTTGCCTGGCTTTTACAGTGTCACCTACCCACTTCTTACTCAAGCTTCCTTGAACCTGCAGTATTGGAGGAAAGGTGTGCAGGGCTTCCTTCCCCGTGTATCCATGCATTGCAAACATCTACCACCAGCAATATAAGCAAGTTCAAAAAATAATTCTACTTATTGAGATGCAAAGAAAGCCAAACTGTAATTTTTCCCATTACATTTTTCACCCAGTAAAACAACCAACTTGATCTCTATTCATCAATAATTATCTTAGTGAACAAAGAGGTAGTTTAGGAGAGCTACATTTTCATCAATGATGCACAACATTCAATTTTCAAAAAAGCACAGGGCTGTTCAAAGCTATTCTATGTGAGGCACCACCTTTCTAAAAAGGCAATCAGTTGCTTAATTGAGAGCAGCAGTATCAGTTAAAACAGTGGTGATGAATTTTCATAGCATTTTAATTTTGGCCATTAATACTGACCCTGCCACTTTTCCCACTAGTAAAATACCATTTTCTCTACTTACCCATTCACATACATTCATTGTAAGGAGCAGGTAGAACCTTTGAAGGATGGGAGTGAGATAAGAAACACATACATTGTGTCTACCCAGCAGTGGGAGTTGAGGGCCAGAGATTTCTGTGCTGTGTAGCCTAAGGGACTACCTGATATTTTGGAGGGGGCGAGGAAGAGTCTGCTTAATTTTGCTTGATTCCAGAGTACTTTGTGGACAGGACCTTTCTTGGATATGTCTAAAACCCCACAGGTGAGTGAATTTAAGTTCTCATGGTCATAACTTCAACTGCATGCAATCTCAGCATGAGTTTGTCATGTATCGTGTTAGTCTGGGTTGACCAGAGAAACAAATCCAGAGACACTCCTCTATGTGTATAAAAAAGAGCTTTATATCAAAGAGTAATTGTATATTAAGAGAATATCCCAGTCCGGTACAGTCCAAGTCCATACAGTCCAGATCTCCAATACCAGTCTATAAATTCCTCTTCAGACTCATGCAACGCATGCAATGATGCTGAATGCAGGAAGATCACAGCACAGTGGGTGGAAAGTCTTGTGGATCCAGTGGCGGTGGAAGCATCTCAGCGCTGGCACAGGTCTCCACGTGGCTTCTCCAGCTCTAGGGCTCTGGCTCCATCAGTTTCTCTCCATGTGGCTTGTCAACAGGAATGTCTCACAGGGAGAATGGGTCTGGCCACCAGTGACCTATTATTCTCTGTAGTGCTTCCAAATGAGGTCATACAGCTGTGACCTGATTGACAAGCTAAACTCTCCCCCTTCACTCTGAATAGTATAAAGCGGACACCAGATTATGTCACTACCACATGTATCTACTGAGAATTTTTTTATTTCATGAATAAAACACTTCAGACATACACAAGAATGCCTATTTTAAGTGATACAAAAGTTATTCTAAAGCTGTGTTTCCCCAAATTGGTAATATTGGTCCCTGGGGGGGTGCAGGAAACACCACCATGTCCTGAACCATCCCCATAATTATTCTTATGTTTGAGCCCTTTGTTGCAGCCATGGTGTTTGATAAGGTCATCTCATGGAGGGGCTTCCACTTTTTCATTGCCCCTGTACTATACCAAGCAAGATGTCCTCCAGGGACTAGTCTCGCCTGATAACGTGCCCAAAGTTTATAAGATGAAGTCTCGCCATCCTTGCCTCTAAGGAGCAGCATCCTCACTGTACTTCCTCCACACGGTCTATTTTTTCTTTTGACAGTCTCTGGTACTTGAAATATTCTTTGCCAATACCATAGTTCAAATGCATGAATTTTTCATCAGTCTTCGTGTTCAGTGTCACATGCATATGAAGTGATTGAAAATACCATAACTCGGATCAGGAGTACCTTAGTTCTCAAAGCAACACGCTGGCTTTTCAACACTTTAAAGAGATCTTGTGCAATAGAGTTACCTAAGGCAGTATTGATCCCTATTTTAAAAACCTCAAACTTACTCCCATTGAGTGGGCATAGTGACCCTATAAGAGAAGGTAGAACTGCCTCTTGAGTTTCTGAGACTGTAACTGTTTAAGGGAGTAGAAAGCCCCACATTCTCCCAAGGAGCAGCTGGTGGTTTTCAAACTGCTGACCTTTTGGATCACAGCCCAATGCATAACCACTGTGCCACCAGGGCTCAAGATGAATCAACCTAAATGTAAGAACTGAAACTATAAAAGCAATGTTTATATTAGTATCCAAATAAGACTTAGCAAATATCCTCCAAAAATTAACTGCTAAGTTAGTGTTGCAGTACATTCTATCCAGGGTGCAATACACAGCAATTAAGTGAATGAACAATTCGTGAGGTCCTTCTAATGAAAATATGTGAACCAAAGAACTCATACAGAGTAATTGCGTTTGTCGAAAGCACAAGGTATTAGTTAAGATTGAAGACATAAGTGGTAAAACTATAATAGTAGCAATAATAATACCCTCCTAATACACAAATAATAGTTACTTCCAGGTTAATACACCTCTCCTTATAGTCCAGCTTCGATTATTTATACAACACTTAGGTTGAATAACCCTGGTGAAAGGATACAACCCTGACATGCACCTTGCCTGATTTTAAACCACCAGTAATTCCCTTGTTCTTTTTATGTAGATTGCCTCTTGG